TCCACCCATCGGCACAGCCAACGCCGATACACAGCCAAGCCCCGGCGTACCTACTACTCCAACCAAATGCACCCGCTCCTGTTCCCCCCCCGTGGCAGGCACAGCAGCACGCCTCTCCCACTGTCTTCTCCCCCATCAACACCCACACCACCCCGACGATGGCCACAACCGCTTTTCCCCCACGACACCCAACCCCCGTGGCTCATACACCTCATCTCCGCCCTCTCACACCACGTCAAAACCTTCCCCTAACGTCCCAACCCCTCCACATTCACACCTCAGGCTTCCTCCGCTCCCCACCATTAGTCTCAATCCAACCAACCCCCGCCCCCCCCGCCCTCCAGCTCACACATATAGGGCTCCAACAGGCTTCACAAGAGCTTGTCCCTTGCCATCCATCATCTGCGACTCACCCCCCAGACCCCCCTGCCTTTCTCCCCCACCGCCCCCCCTCCTCCCACAATCACCAAACCCTTATAACTACCATTTCGTCAAAATGGACATCTTTTATTTTTTGACCGAAATTGAAACTGAGTTTTTTGGCCGAAAACTCGTCAAAATTTGTTGTTCCTGAAGGTCTAGCGTTTGTAAAACGCTGGACCCCCTGGCTGTACATGGACCTAACTTGAGACCAGGTACCTCCAGGCAGTCCCTGGTCTCAAGCTAGGTCCATGTACAGTCAGGGGGTCCAGCGTTTGTAAAACGCTGGACCCCCTGGCTGTACATGGACCTAACTTGAGACCAGGTACCTCCAGGCAGTCCCTGGTCTCAAGCTAGGTCCATGTACAGTCAGGGGGTCCAGCGTTTGTAAAACGCTGGATCCTCAAGAACAACAAATTTTGACGAGTTTTCGGCCAAAAAACTCAGTTTCAATTTCGTTCAAAAAATAAAAAATGTCCATTTTGACGAAATGGTCGTTTTATGCCCACATCAAATCACTTCCACAACCCCTCCCTCCTATTACAACCCTGGGTACGATCCCACCCCCACACACGATACAACCTACCGTTACCTACTTCCTCCACCTCCTTCATCTCACACCCACGCTCATCAGGCCGGGGCAAACAGCACAGCAGCTGAAGCCAGGACAGATGACGAGCTCATGCGGGATCCAAGGCAGGCGTTGCGCACCCCCTTCAAACAGCAAAAGCTCAACGAAGACGGCGAAGGTGAAATCACGAGAGCCGAGGAGGAAGCAAAGGCTGAATTTTATTCAGTCGCAGCTACGGACTTCAGAAGGAGGCCCAAGCTCAGCTTCCCTTCCATTGAACCCCCAAGCATCATCCAGCCGTCTTGCAACCGGCGTCAAGCATCAGATGGTCCTCTTACTCTTCATGCTCACTCCGCAGGGAACCAAATTTATGGCCAGAAGAACGGGGAGAGGCACGCTAGCAATCCCGACCATAGCGGTTGATGCCTCACCAACAACGAAGGAAGCAGTGAAGGCGGTGGCTACCACCTTTATTGTCGATCGCTTCCCCTTCAGATTTGTGCCAGACATACGGGTCGGGAGGAAATCAACTGCAGCAGCCACCGGAGGGAGCTGGCATTTCCGCATAGGAGTTCTCGATGTCAAGGTCAATGTCGGCACGACCTCGCTCCTCGGCTTCCAAGGGATTGTATGGTTGCCCTGCTCGTGGCTTACCACCACACCTGCAGAAGAGCTTAAGGAGGTATTCTTAACAGAGGATGTTAATGCAAAGTGAATCGCCGAATTTATCAGCACCTTGGCAGTCGACAAGCAACCTCACTCGCCGGGCTTCAGAAGTCTACTCCTCGCTCCATGGGTGCCGACCACGGAAACAGATGCTGCAAGAAGACAGAAGAGCACCAGATCTTCCAATGAAGAAGCATCGCGGATCCAGCCATCAACCGCTCCACCGCATTCAGATGGTTAGTCCTAGAGTCGCTACCTGGAACGTCAAGGGGCTGGGCGACACCACGCGAAGACAAAGAAGCCCGACTGAAGATATGGATCCACCACAACGGAGCCCAAGTCATCATGTTGCAAGAAACAAAGCTTGATGAGGCCAAGATCCAACAATGCCATACATGGTGGAGAGGTCCCCAACTGTGGGCTCCGACCCACGACACGTGTGGAGGCTCAACCATTCTATTCCACAACAAACTCTAGATGGAGATGCTGGATCAGCAGGTCGACATCTGGGGTCAGTGGGCTTGGGCCCAAGTCAAGTTGGGCAACGAAATTTGGGTCTTCATGACTGTCTACGTCCCATCAGAACCAGCTGATCGGAGGTCCTTCTTGGAGGAATTGCCACACATAGTCCCACCGGCAGACAACCAGGTACTACCAGGTGATTTCAACACTGTCTTAGTCCCAGGTCTCGACTCGCAGCTGACGGCTCCAAGACGAGCTGATGCAAGGATGCTGGCGGATTTTATCAGTGAGCAGGGACTCACTGATACCTTCCGGCAAACACACCCAGACGACCCAGGCTTTACCTGGCTCTCCTCACAGAACTCGGAGGACGCAATGGCCCCAAAACGCCGCCTGGACTTGGTCCTCACCAAAGGTGCCGCTTGGGATGCACTTACATCAGTGGAGGTGATAGTAGATCCACTTTTAGACCACCGTCTGTTGCTGGCTACCTTCGAGACAACAACCCAGTTAACAAGAGGTCAAGGGACCTTCCGACTTAACACATACCTACTTACCGACCCCGAGGTCTTGCAATGGACTGCATATCACTGACGGGACTGGCAGCAAACGAGAGAATGGTTTGAAAGCGAAGAGGACTGGGTACAGACGGGTTTTCGGGTAGTCACCCGGGCACTCGATGTTTTCTCGAGAGTCCAAGCCCGAGGTCGCCGCCTTCAGGAGCTCGAATGCAAGAGAATGGTTGAGGAAGCTGAAAACCAACTGGATGCAGGGGCAATCGCGGAGCTATATTGGCAACGCAGAAGAAACCACTGGCTACAAAAGTGGGACGAACTCCAGATCGAGCAGCAGGTGCTCTGGGCCAAGCGTGTGCAGGAAAAAGGAATGATAACCTCAGATCGCATATCAAAAGAGATGTTTCAGCGAGTCTGTCCCCCATGCACACATGCCGTCATGAGGGAGCTCCAACATCCTTCTATCTAGAAGCAGACGTGGCGAAGGATTCAACAGCCATTGGGGAGTATGCATGGGAGTACTTCCAAGACATACTTACCTCAAGACGCCCACCGTCTCAGACGCTGCAACAGCTGCAAGAGGAGCAGGACCTCTGGAGTCACACCCAAACAAGCCTCTCCCACGAGGCACGTCTTTTATTAGACAGGCCAATCACGATCGAAGATCTGTGGGAAGCAGTTAGGAGCATGGCAAAGGGCAAAAGCCCGGGCTCATATGACTTACCGGTCGAGTTTTATGAAGCAGTCTGGCAACATGTTGGACCTATACTTCTCAGTCTCTATAATTGAGTCTTGGAAAGCGGCTCCTTGACAGGGGACATGAAGATGGGCATTATCACGTTGATCTACAAGAAGGGCGATAAGTGTAACATACGCAACTGGCGCCCCATATCCACACTCAATGTCTCCTACAAGATCCTCTCCAAGCTCCTTGCAAAGTGACTCGCACCGCACCTGCCTGATCTGGTTCACTCAGATCAAGGGGCCTTCGTACAAGGAAGAGTGATATCAGAGAACATTATGACAGCTATGGGCGCCTTGGAGATCATACAGCACGAGAACAGACAGGTCTTGGTGGCCATGCTCGATCTCGAAAAAGTGTACGATCGCGTCAATTGGTCTTTCGTACTTGCTACTTTGGAACATATAAACTTTGTGCCAATGTACTGCAAGTGGGTAAAAGAACTGTACGTTGACTCTACGGCAACAATCATAGTCAACGACTTTCTTTCCCCAATCTTCTTGCTGACCCGGTCCCTTCGGCAGGGCTGTCCTCTTTCTTCGCTTCTCTTTGCCATACAGATGGAAGTGCTCCTTAATGCCTTACGGGCAGATCCTCGGATTCAAGGGCTCGATCTGGGAACCGGACACAGACTCCTCACTGGGGCAATAGCAGATGATCTACTTCTCGTCATGGAAGCGACCACAGACTCCACTCGCGAGGCGAAGCGGCTGCTCGATGCCTACGCAGAACTCTTAGAGGCAAGAGTCAACTGGAACAAATCTCTGTACTTTCTCCCACCAGACTATGACCTCGAAGGAGAAGATTGGGGCATGAAACGGATAGCCTCCAACCTCTCCGAGCACTATCTGGGCATCCAAGTAGCTCTCACTGACGCCAGACCTAAGCAAGACTCGAACTTGAGGGCAAAAGCACAGGCATCTTTACCCCGTTGTTGCTCTGCTGTAGGGGTTGCTCTGATGGGCAGGGCACTACTCATCACATCAACAGTCTTTGCGCAGCTGTGGTATGTAGCAGCCATCTTTCTGATCTCCAAAGCTACAGTCAGGCAGCTCACCTCCGAGGCGGCTCGCTACCTGTGGAAGCCAAGTGCAGAGAACTCCAAGGTATTCATCACCAAACGAGCCTGGCACAAAGTTACGAAACCCAGGAAGGAGGGTGGCCTTGATATCATTGACCCAGCAACACAGAATCTGGCTCTGCTTGGGAGATGGTTCCACAAAGCAACTACGCAGACGGACAACCGATCCTGGCTCACAGTCCTAGAATATTTGATTCAGCAAGAATTTCATCTCACCAGACGCAAGGACGTCTGGACCTGCATTTTCATGGCGTCCTTCATTCGACGCCAACCGAAATACTCCCTAGTAGCTGCCTGTTGGACAGCATGGCGAGCCTTACAACCGCTCCAGAACAAAGAACCAACAACAAGGGAGGAGGTTCTCCAGCAACAACTCTTCGACAACAGACTGCTTGTCAACGAGCACGGACAACAGTTTGAAGCAACAGCGGCGAGAGGATCTTTCGGGAGAAGGTGGGTTGAGAAAGGAATATCTAGGGTCTCAGACCTGTGGAATGAGGACAGAAGTGAGTGGGTGCAGGAAGACCAGCTTAGGATCACTCTGAGACGCGTACCGTTGGTAGCCGATAGGTTGGGGCAGCTCTGTGCAGCCATCCCAGCGCATTGGCTGGATCTCCTCCGCTCTTCCAGACCCGTCGAAGGTGAATGGTACTCCACCACAGAGGAACAACAGGTGACCGCAGTGATTCGGATCTCTGAAGAGCTCGAAGATAACCTCTGGCACGCCCACAAATGGGAAGTAAAAAGTCACAACAAGCTCACAGCACAGCTCGCACCACAGCAGATGTGGCTATCTCCACAGCGGCCCCACTCCGCTGGTCCAAGTTCACACAACCAGCACAGGAGGGCAAACGATTCACCACCTCTTAAATGCAGGCCAACCGCTTCAGAGCTGTAGAATCGACCCAATGGGCCACTACTGGCAAACCTCAGCAGGGAAGACCATCTACCTTTTCCAGTACACATCTGGCCAAGCAAGGGCCTTACTCTCCAAACCTGCCAATGTCGCCCAAGAAGCAGCAAATGCTCTCAACAGCCTAGCCACTGTGCAGACACAGATTACTCAACACAATCTGACGGTTCTTTGGGAACAGCTTCCTCTGCTCCCCTCTCGTAAATTTGCTAGTCTGCTTTGGTTGCTGTCTCATTCAATTATACCTAACGCAACCTGGCTTTTCGAGAGGGGCATGGACTTAGAGACAAAGTGCAGACGCTGCGGCGGCCAAGCTGAAGAGACTTTATACCATCTTATCTGGGACTGTCCTGCCTCCCGCCGCATCTGGGATTGGTGGAGTCGCCACTGGTACCGCTTTGTCGGCCCCCTCCTCCAATGGGATGAAACCTGGGCACTCACGGGTCGCCTCCCCCCCTCCTGGCTCTCAGCTACAGGTCGGGGATATGTTGCCCATCCATCATCGTCTGGGTGATCTGGGAGGACAGAAACAATGTACTTTTTAGTCAGCAGTGGTCTAACGACCCGGCAATCATCCGAAGAATCAAGTCTCGGGTACGGGCAATGATCAGAGTGGACTGGGTGAGACGTGCCTACCGAGCCTCAACTCCTAGGGGATGACACTGGTTCCTGGTCACTTGGGCAAGAGACAGCCAGCTGGCTGCCATAACCCATGAGGGCAAGCTGCACATCTCCCCTTGGCTCTTAGTGTAGTCGCCCACCTCCACCTACCTCCATACCCCCCCCCCCCCTCCCCCCCCCCCCCCCTCCCCATCCTACTCCACTCACCCTACCGTGCTTCCCATCCCTTCCCCCTTTCCTTCCCTCCCTTGCCCCCTCCTTCCCCTTCCTCTCTCCCCCCCTCTTTCTCTAACACAAGATGATCCGTTGATTCAAAACCAGGGTAACTCGGTTCAGGCTCCGACCGCAGGAGGTCAATAGGGGAGGAGGGTGGAGAGTGCCATTGTTCTAGAGGAACGCAGGTTCCAACCGGCCGACGTAGGCCGGTGTCAGGCCATTTTTTAGGCCTATGTATCTCTAGTAGTATTTTAGTGGTAGTTGGAGTACCTGTGTTTGTAGCAGTAGCCTCATTTAGTATCTCATATAGAACAGGTGTGGTTTCGTCGGCCATCTCAGTAGGTTTCATGCGTGAGCGGCGTCGCGTAGGTGCTGGGCTCTATTCCCGTTGCCGTCACTTTCAGTGCCCTGAAGGATTGGTGGCCACGCCAGTCAACACTGGTAACTCGCTGGGGCGAGTTGTGCCGCCCTGTAACCCGTTGCAATACGGGAGCATTGGGCCAAGTGGAAGTGGCTGCTCAGGTCCTGCTGCGGCCGGTCGGGACAC